TATTTTACATACATGTATAAAATGTTACTACAGTGCTTTCTAACTTTAGATGTACTCCTCAGCCCAGACTGCAAAATGAACAGTTAACAAACCATATTTAACATTCGCAATAGCGGCATTGTGGTCAAGTCATCAAAATAATTATACTAAATAAGAACGTCCACCTAGGTATGAATATATTGTAAATACTGAGACTATTTCATTTAAAACCTGTGTGCAGAAAGGAACTCAAATAAAGCCTAATATAAGTCTGCAGAGGCAGCATAAAAAATGTGTGGGTCACAGATCATATTTTAATGAATGAAAGAAAGTTGTAACTGCTTCAAAAGCCCACCTGACCCAGATCTAATGTTTACACAGTTCAAGTGAAGGGTTTGCTCAAAAACAGCTTCACTGGTCGAGCTCAACCGTATTTATACAATGACCTTTTTGAATTTTTCTTTTGAGTAAGGTCACATTGAACCGCAGAGTCATGGGCTCACCTGCAGAGTGTTGAGCCTCCGCCCGTTCAGGAAGATGGGGAAGCTGACAAAGTTGCTGTACTTTGTTACAACCTCTGAAAGAGAAACAACAGCTAGTTAGCTCATGGAGCGACGCTACACGCATGTGTTTTATCACCGCAGTAACAGCAGTTATACCTTTGACTCTGTCCTCAGTGGAAAACTCTTTGCAGTCGTCTTTGAAGTGCAGCACGATCTTTGTTCCCTGTTGAACACCGGTGGCTTCAGCGATCTCAAAAACTCCAGAGCTGATGAAGACAATGACAGAGAATGTCTCAGGATCACATGTTGTTTTTACTTCCAAATTTGTTTTGCAGATAGCTAGTTTTAGTTTAGATTCACTTCTACTCTATGTGTTTGGGCCAGTGATGGACAGATGTATGTTTCCATTCTTTGTTCTGCTGCAGAAAACAATAACACTGAAGAACACTTTCATTCCCACTCTTGATATAAAATGCTGTCCTCCCCATGCCTCGCCCCCCCTCTCACCCGTCAGAGGACCACTTGTATCCGGGTGCGTCGGGCTCAGAGGACCGGGAGTAGACCTCCACCGAGTCTGCCACCATGAAGGTGGAGTAGAAGCCCACCCCGAACTGACCAATGATGGTGCTGCTGGCCTCAGCCTTGTTGGTCAGGGCATCCAAAAAGGCCTGCAGGGAAGGAATGATTATTATGGCTTCATCATAACAAAAGTGTGACATTCATAGACATAAAGTAATGCATTCGTTGGGTCGTTCATTGTATATAAACACACTGACCTTTGACCCGGAGCGGGCGATGGTCCCCAGGTTGGCTACCAGCTCCTCTTGGTTCATCCCCACTCCTGTGTCCTGCACAGCACAGAGAGCCCCAGTTACTTACAGTCTCTGTAGCTAACTGTACAATACTCATCCACCAGGGGGCGATACATCTCAAAAACAGCCCAGGAACCAGAGTCTACCTGAGCCTTTCTTCACTGCAGGAACATGTTTCACACTTGAGTATCCACTGAAATTTGCAAACAGGGACATTTGGATGAACCACATTTTAAAGAGGACGGAATTTAGTAATTGTTATATTCTGTGTGTAGGGGAGGGAGTTGCTGTGGGACAATCATTGATCGACTGAATCGATTGCGGTGCTAAGATGACGAAAAACAAGCGAGACAATTACACTACAAGTCTCCAAAATGGCGTCCCTGACGTTGTTTCATAAAGCTTTGTTCATGAAAAGAAATAAAGTGATACTGAGATTTTTCTACCACATTGACTGGGATGGAACCAGGAGACTGCTGGGACCGGTTGAAACCACTCGGTAGACCATTTTTCATTCAGTGCCACTCCCTCTACTGCACACATTGTTTTTCATTTATCTACACTCTTCTTTCCCAATTTCAGCCAGATGCTGAGACATCTTCTGGGCCACCCTTTGGTTTCAAGCTTCTACCTCTCGCTCCCTCTGTGCGGTGTCCTCTCATCTATACTGATTAGGGCTTCTTTTTTTTACCAACTATTATTCTCTATTCTCCTTTTTTGAGTAGTAGTTGGTGAAAACAGACAATAGTAAAATCTTGATTGCTATTATTGCATTTGTTAAAGGCGTGCGTATTATGTAATATGTATCTTCTTAACCAATCACATAAAAACGTTGAAAATGACTTGCATTAAGTATCAACCACAATTGATGCAGACCTATCTTACACAGCGATGGTTATACCTGAATGGTTAAGGTACCCTTGGCACTGTCAGTCTGCAGGTGGATCTCCATCTGAGCCGTTTCTCCACCTGCCGTCATCAGTTTGTGGCGCAGCTTCTCCAGAGCGTCACTGCCGTTGGAGATCAGCTCCCTGATGAACACCTGGTGGGTCGGAAAGAGGAGAACAGTTATAGGTTATATCTGAAAGGTCAATCAAGCTAAATAGTATGTTATTCCTCTCTCTGACAGACTATGCATTATATTAATGCACACAATATCTTGTTTTTTTACAATGTAAATACTGCTATATTTGAGTATGTTATTATAGTTTTCTTAAAATAGTTTTCTATCTGTGTTTTACATTTTTGTTTAACTTTATGTATGCACCAAGACACCAAGTCAAATTCCTCGTGTCAACCTACCTGGTAATAAAGGTGTTTCTGATTCTCTCTCACTAACACACACACACACAATATACCACTAACCTCCTTCTCGGAGTACAAGGACCTGGCAACAATGTCCAGCAGTTTTTTCGTCTCAGCCTGAAATTCATGTTTGGAAAAGTCACCTGCATGAATCATGGGGTAGAAAAAAACAGTCAGATGATCTTAAATCTAACAAATCAGAAGCTTGTCATTGTCTTTGAGGGAGTTGCATGTCTGCAGCTGTTCCGGCACCTTGAACAGCCTCAGTGTTGCTGATGATGGTGTGCAGAGGCTCCTCTTCAGGCTCCATCTCCAGCTCCTTCTCCAGATCCTTCTCCAGCTCTTTCTCAGGCTGCTTCTCCGGCTCTTTCTCCAGCTCTTTCTGAGGCTGCTTCTCCGCCTCCTGGGTGCTGTAGTAGGACTGCTGGCTGAAGCCCAGGCCGGCCCGCTGGGAGCTCCACACGGGGGGCCGACTGCTCCACCCCCGCTGCTGTCCAGCCTGCAGGTCTGATGGCAAGAGGTGAGTCAGCTGACATCTACATTTTTATCTTTTTGGATGCCTTAGATCAGGGGTGTCCAAACCTTTTTCACCGAGGGCCACATACAGAAAAATATATACGAAGGGCTGGGCCGCTTATAGGAGGTATATTGCCTCGTAAGTTAAGTTATAAGTTAGCAAAATGTAGGTAAATTAGGCTTGATACATGAATATGCGTTAAGAAAAAAAACAGCCTACATCACAGCTCTCTATAGGGTTTCATTTATCTCGTTGGCAACTCATCCCTTAAACAGAAGCCTCAGAGTGATTATAATAAGATGAAATATGAAGAGTCTATTTAAAGCTTGTTATGTAAATAAGTCATTGGGCTTTTTTTTATCAACTAAGATTTGTTAGAAAATGTTTTCAACATGAATCGACTGAATTTATTTGTAAAAGTGGGCTTATTAACACATGAATACTACTGTGTAATATATTTTCACATATATGTTTAAGAGGCACAATATAAGACAAGCACACGTTTCATTTGTGGGCCATATTTCATTATACTTTTTGAATTTGCTGAGGGCCGATTAAAAATGGCCCGCGGGCCGCATTTTTGACACCCCTTAGATGTATTTACAAAACACTACCAGAAATGTGATACCTACACTAGAGAACAATCTTAAGACCCAGTAAAAAAGCGTGGTGAATAGATACAATACTACTCTCTCTTTCTTACAGCAAAGTATATGAGAAACCTTTTAGAACAGCTGTTTAGTGATGCCAGCTGTTTCAGTGACTGAGAGACACTGGAGTCATGTTTGCAAAGTCAAAATCCCTTAACACCAATCTGTTGCAGGTGCAGAGATGTGATGATGTAATAACTGAGTTCTATAAGCAACCCCTCGGTTTTATTCATATTGTAGTTTTGTACCTCTTAAGTGAGATATCGGACTACAAAAGTAGCTCGTGGACTTGGACTGCAGGCAGGTAAATAAGGCATCATCCGACGCAGAGTTCACATCACTTTGTACATCCATGCTTTGATCTTGCAGCTGTCATCAACTAGCATGGGAGCTAACTCGGCTCATAAACACAGCTTACCTCCAGTGAACGAGCGCGAGGTAACTCCGCTGCTGAGTCCTCGCACACATGACGTCAGCCGTGAGTTGGTCCTCGAGGAACCGAGGGCGAACCGGGCCAGCGCGAGGCAGCGGGACATGTTGACAGACAAGGGACAGGAAGACAAGTCGACTGACCAACTGACCGAGGGACACACGCCGGACGATGTTAGCGAAAAAGGACCCGCGACGGCGCCATGTAATGACGTCATTAGGGGGTCCATCACACTGCCTGATGTAAAGTTAAACATTTTACACAGACTAAAATGTAATTAAAAATGGTATATAGGTGTACATTAAAATGTAGTTTATATGCATTGGAAAAAGACATACTAGCACTTTATATGTATCAATGTAGTACCCTCCTTTATTATGTCATTGATACATTTCAGTTAATTTGACCTTCAAGGTCAAACAGTTGTCATCTGATCAAATCTAAGGAAAAAATGTATAATTATGTTTCAAGTTAATGCTGATTGGACGTGAAACGATTATTTAATAAATTGGGAACTCTGGCTTATTTTTCTGTCTTTTTATATTTCGTTATTATTTGGGAATCGTTTTTTCAAAGCAGTCAATATTAAATGAGTTTTTCCTTGGCTTACATTAAAGCACAAAGAGTTGCTTGGCGTTTTTAACTGCGAGGTGAAGCTAATCATCTTGGTGATTTGGGGTGTTCTACTTTTGAGTATTTCACATACTAAATGATTGATCAATCATTTGGATGTATGTTAATAAAAATATGAAATAATTCCGATCCTAATGCTGAACACAACATCACTCTTTCCAAACAGAAATATTCAAAGCAGAGTCTGTGGCACACAGGTTTATTTAACAATATGGTATATAAGTACGAAATGAGCCATTTGAACCAGTTTGTACAGTGATTTCATTCTTATTTTCTGCATATTTACAGTACTGTCTAGCCGCATGATTTACATTAGAGAACAGTTCATCATCAATTCAAGTTTAATGCAAGAGAGAAAATGATGCACAAAACCCTCTGAACACAAATCAGCAGTCAAACAAGTTAATTTCCCACCACAGGCAAAAGAGACTCGAATGAGAATTTCCTTTGACTCAGCGAGAGACAAAGCATTTTTTAAACATTTGCAAGACAGATACTGGGCCCAGGCCAGTAAAAAGAACATTCCGGCACCTGTGAACATTAACAAGCTTCATTGCAGATTTGTCTTACACTTGCTTTGTGTTTGGGTGTGTGCAATAGTTCTTAGATCTATACAATTACATTTATCTCCCATAGACTCTGCAAACCGGAAAGAAATTAAGGCTTTCCCAAAGGCAGTCCTTTTTGAAAAATGGCATTTTAGAATAAATTAGCCAGGAAGGAACAGAGGAACTGAGCAAGAAGTGAAACCTGGCAAAAAATTCCCAGACAAATAATTTTACAGTCTTCTCAACACAAATGCGATATTAATTTGCAAAGGTACAAAATAAAAAAAATTGAATAATAAAATGAAATATTTTTTGTTTTGAGAAGTTTTGTTAAAAAAAAGTCAATACCAGAGCATAACAAATGAAAAACAAATTAAAACAACACAAAGACCATCGCAAATTATTGCATGGCTGGTCTGAACCAAAAATATATTCTTTGTCGTCTTCTTTTAAATCACTCTCTGGGTTGGAAGAAAAAGCAGTCCCTTGGTTTAAGGAAAGTTCACAGTCTGTAGGCCTCGTATGACTCATTTGTTTGTATTTCATTTCGCTTTTTACATCAGCAAGTACAAAAATGTCTCAGCTGAAAACAGAACAAGGCCTTTCTTCTGTCCAAAAATGCTACAATCCTTCAACAAATTTTTCCAGCGTGTCTCCTGTCGGGTCACCAACCATACCCATGTCATTACTCAACCCTCCTCTGTTTGGCGTGTTAAGTTGTGGGAGCATGGCACTCTGCTCAGGTGTACCCATGTGGCCCTGGTCCATGGACCCCGACATCGGGCCTCCAAGGCTGGGGTGGGGAGAGCTGGAGTGTAGGGCGCCGTGCTGAGGTGAGGGCTGGGGCTGTATCCGCGGGGATGGACTGGAATGTGGGGGCTGCTGCGAAGGCGGACGGGGCGATTGCACTGGGGCTGGGGAACGAACTTGGTTTCCCAGGGTGTTTGCCATTGTCTGTCCAGGTAAGTGAGCTCCTCCCTGGGCCTGGCCTTGGAGCATGTGAGATTGTGGACTCATCGAGTTTGCCTGTGCTGGAGAGCCCATCTGCTGCTTTAGCATCTGCTGCTGTTGCTGCTGAAGCAGGCGCTGCTGGAGGATGTTCTGCGGGACTTCCATGCCCATGCCAGGCTGACCCATTTGAGACGAGGGAGGGAGCTGTCCCAAGGGCCCCGCGCCTCCTTGCATAGCCATTTGCTGCTGCATACGGAGTTGGGAGTAGGTTGCTGGCCCCGGCTGCTGCTGGGGGAACTGACTGTGGCCCTGAGGCATGCCTCCCTGCTGCTGCTGCGCCTGCTGCTGCTGCGCCTGCTGCTGCAGATGCATCTGCTGCAACCGGAGCAGCTGCTGTCTGCGGTACATTTGGGGATTGCCGTTTTGGGCAGCATTCATCATCTGGCCTTGGGGGCCCATGGTTGCCATACCCTGGGGCCCTGCCTGCGGAGGAGGCTGCTGCTGCTGCTGAGGTGCCATCACTGGCCTCTGCACCTGGTTTGCCATGGCTGCCATGGCCTGCATTCCTGCCTGGGACCCCAGCATGGCCTGATTCTGCTGCTGCTGCTGCGCCTGCTGCTGCTGCTGCTGCTGCGCCTGCTGCTGCTGCTGCTGCTGCGCCTGCTGCGCCTGCTGCACCTGCTGCGCCTGCTGCGCCTGCTGCGCCTGCTGCTGCGGCTGCTGCGGCTGCGTGGCCTGGTACTTGGCTGTCCTCTGTTTAATGAAGGCGGCCATGAGGTGGGGGTTGGACTTGAGGATGTTAAGGACCTGCTGTTGCTGCTGCGGGGAGCTGGGAGATTTAAGGGTGCGCAGTAATTCTTGCAGGGCACTCGGAGCAATGTTTCCAGGTATTTCACGTGGCATGCCTAGCTGCTGTGGTGTCATGCCCTGCTGTGAGGGCCCCTGGGGAGTCATGACCCCAGGCATTTGGAGACCCTGTTGTTGGGGCATCATGGGTCTCTGCATGAGCTGGGCCTGCTGGGGCATGGGGGCTCCCTGAGCCTGCTGAGGTGCCATGGCGACCTGTTGAGGAGGGACCTGCGGCTGATGCCCCTGCTGATTCTGCATGGGATTCTGCATCCCCGGACCCCACTGGCCCTGCTGCATAGCCTGCATCACCTGGGGGCCCCGAGGCCCCTGCATCATCTGCATCTGACCCTGCATGGGCCCCATCATTCGTGGGTGGTTCATGGGTATGCCATTCATGGCATAATTCTGCTGCTGCTGCTGCTGTTGCTCCTGCCTTGCTTTGGCTGCCATCTCGATCTGTCTGGCCACCTTCAGGGCTGCAAGGAGCGGCTGTTGTTGCTGCTGCTGCTGCTGCTGCTGCTGCTGTTGTTGTTGTTGTTGTTGTGGTGGTGGCTGAGGCTGCTGTTGGTGGGGCATGTTAGGCAGAGGTGACTGCTGCTGATGAAGAGGGGAGGACTGAGGCCCTGGTTTCCCCTGTGGCCCCGGTGTTGTGGGCTGGCTGCTGCGGCCATTGTTGGGGAAGCCTTGGACGATGTTGGCAGGGTTTGGTGGCTGCTGTTGCTGGGGCTGTGTGGGCATGGGCTGGGGCGTCTGGGGCGTGTTAGGCTGCTGCACAGAGTTGGGGGTGTTGGGGGTGTCGGGGGCAGCTGAGGTAGGTGGAGATGGCATTGGCATACCCCTTCCAGCCATGGTGGCCATTCGACGGCGCATCATTTGAGCCTGCTGGAGCCGGTGCTGCAGCTGCTGCTGACGGAGTTTGTGCTTGATGTTAAGACAGAAGGGAACAGGACACTTGTTCTCCTGACAGTGCTTGGCGTGATAACAACATAAAGCAATGAGCTGTTTGCACACAGGGCAGCCACCGTTGGTCTTGCGCTTGCAGCCTTTGGTGTGTTGAACCACCCTCTTCATCTTCTGGCATGACGGGAGCGAGCAGTTGGCGTTGCGGCACTGGCAGGCGTGGACCAGGGACTGGATGCAGCGCTGGATGCTGAGGCGCCGGCTCTCCTGGGGGCTCTTGGAGGCCTCTCCACCCGGACCGTTGCTGTCATCGTCCAGACCAAGACCCCACTTCACCATCTGGTGCTCGTGGCCCTTAATGTTGTAGCAGTTGATGCATAGGTCGTAGTCCTGATGGAAGGTAAGGAGAACACATCAATGTTATGTTAAGATTTACATTGATTTCAAAACTGATATAGATTATCAAAACTATCCGTTTTTTGCTGTTGTTCCCTACCTCACAGACGGTGCAGTGCCAGCGAGTCTCTACATGGTGCTTGCACTCATTGCAGGTGTATACAAAGCGGTCCTGGCCCTGGTTGTGTAGTTCTACCAACATACACATGGTGCTCCATTTGCACCTCCTCAGTGAGCTGAACTCCCAGTGCTTGTCCCTGGCTAAAGTCAGAAAGGCATCGCGGCCGTCCATCAGGTCACAGGTCAACAGAGGATCGGGGTCCATGATGGGAGGCAGGGTGTTAACGACTGGGCCGGCATGGAGGTGGATAACAAAAAACACCTGGTAGTAGAAGGGAGGAGAAATGTAAAGGTAAGTTGTTAGGACGGTTCAAATGTACCGTTACAAATAAGAACTCTGAAATCAATAAGTCAGCAAGAGTTAAAATTGTAGGTGTGATACACAACACGCACCTATTATAGAATTTAAAGAAAATCAGGAAACCTTTAAAAAGATGTTAATAGCAAGTATCTGCACTACTCTCTAAAGCCAATGGGTCCTGTTGTGTGCTGTTACCGCAGTGTACCAATAAGATGTACAGTTAGGAAAAAATAACATTCTTTGCAATTATTTGGTCAACTGCTTGGCTTAAAGGTGTCAATTTTACTATAATGGTATTTACCTAAATATTTAAAAGTAATTTAATTTACCTCCTTATGTTTCTCCATCGAGGCGTAGAGTTTCTGAGACAGGTCATTGGCTACATTCGGCATCCCAGGCTTTTTCTTATTGGCTCGGCTGACGCTGCTCTTGTTTTTGTTGGTTTTCTTACTGTTCTTCTTTTTGGCATTCTTGGTGTCAGCTGGGGCTCCCTTGAAATAGATAGACATGAACGTTAAGAGCGATTGCAAAAAAGACAAGATGAGGTTATGCAATTAAGATGAGTGGTTATACAATGCCCGAATGACTGCTGAAAGCTTTCATATAATGACGACTTGAGGATGATAAAATCTGGGGTGAAAAAGAGTACGAAGCACGGGGCTGTTGATTTTGGCATAAGAGCGTTCTTTTTTTAAAAACCCATTCAATCGTGCTATCCGTCTAACTCACCTCTGTGGTCTCAGTGCAGACCGTGTTCTCCTCCTTCTTCCTCTCTTCCTCCTCCTGCTCCAGCTCCTTGATGCTCTCCTCCAGTACATTAGGCCAAAAGTCACCCTCAAAGTACGGCAGCTCGTTGGCAGTGGTGATTCGGTCTTCAGTTGCCTGTTTGAATATGTCCTGAACACAGAAACAAAATACGTCCATCACAACACAGCTCTAAAAGACAAGTTACCTGCAAGTAACACCAGGTCAAATTTAAAACTTTCAAAAGCTTCTTTATGGCAAATTGTAAAAAAAAACATCAGTCCTAATAGAGTGCCACAGTGACGCGTCCTAAAACGCTCATAAATCTATCGATTAGATTTATGATTCGAAAATGATAAAAGTAGGGTAGACATGTGGATATTATCTGGCTGAACAAAACGTGATCTGTCTCTTCAATTTGTATCAACCACAGACCTTATATCCAGCTATTTTCCAAAATCCTATGGAGAAATTGCATTGGTTTTTGTCGAAGGAACCGGAAGTGGTAAAATGCTAACTTACTTCCGGGTTTTAGGACACGTCACTGTGGCACTCTATGGAGCATACTGTACAAAATTCCTTCAATTATTTATTTGGAAATAATCAATACCAACCACAAGGGGAAGCCCCTCTATACTGCACACTTCTGGACACAGTGACATGCTGATAACTACTATTTGTCTTGTCAGCAGGGACTTAACTACTTTAATTTACTAATTCATCCCATTATGCTTTTTTAGTATAAAGGGTTGTCTTCATTTAAACCGATAAAAATGCCAATAACTATAAATATGTTATTTTTAATGAACGATCACTCAAGTGGATGATGATAAGCACACCACACCAATGACAGTGGCATACTTTTATAGAGCTGACGGCCAATCAAATCCATCTGCAGCACATGCTTAGCAGCACTGTTAACTAAACATTATGGTCCATCAGTGGGGATACCAACGTGGTATTATTAGTTAATTATTTACTAATAATAGTTAATAATTATATTAGTTATTGTTCTTGGTGTGGAAGGCTGTTATCTGTAAAAAAAATACGATCAAACGGATTATTAAAACAGATCATCTGGTTAAATCTAAACTATCATTCATACACGAGTAGCTGTGAACCACCATGTCTCCATAAAAGAAACTGGGTACAATATAGTTTTTTGAACAGTAAACAAATATACTAAATTATCTTCTCGTACTTCAGCCTCCTTTAGAGTAGGCTCTTTACTTCATACATTTTTTATTTTTTTTTTAAATTGATACGGTAATATGGTATTGTATGTGACTGACGGCTAATCACAACAGACACCCAGACTTACTCACTGTACAGTTGAAAATGGTGGCAACATTTTTAAACTATAACTGTGAGAATCTTGAGACTGAATATTGCACTTTTGATAATTTTCTGACCTTGTAGTCGTGCAGGATCCTCTCAGCGAAAGCCTTGTCCAGCATCTTCCTGTACCACTCTTGGAGCCTCTTGGGTTTGGGGATCTTCTGGTCGAAGGGGTGGCAGTGAAAGATGTAGTCATCTCCTTCACTGGGGGGGCAGGCCCAGATGTGACCCATCACATACCTGAGGGCAACAAGAGTTGTTTAGCCAATTGCAGGAATGATACCTAAAGTATTATCTGAGATTTTGTGAAAACTATGTTCAACGCACCCCAGTTTCTTCACATACTCCAGGTAGCCTATTAATATCTCATGGTACACTGCAGTCCTTAGTGCACGTGGTCTGAAGAAGTGAATACTGTCGAGGTATGATATGTAAACCCGTCTGAAAAGCAAATATAGAGGATTAATCAAAGAGGAAATACACACAAAATGTCCCAAACAACTGAGAAAAACTGCATATATCCACTTGTTTCTGTCGTTATACCTGGTATTTGGAAAGGGGCACTCCGAGCCGTACTCCTGGACGTGCATGCCGAAGAAACAAACGTCCACGCCGTCTATTTCCTCGAATGCAAAAAGTGCTTTGGTTCTGTAAGGGAAGGTCTCCACCATCTCGCCCGAGTCCACAAACCTGGGGAAATAGAGACGGCAAGTAAGTTACAGTTTTTAGAACTTAACTTGAAAATGTTGTAAGTTTTAAAGACAGGAGAAAAGATAATCTCCATGGTCCGGTCTGTCGTGCATGTTTGTTTGTTTTATTGGATATAAATATGTATAAGATAAGAGCGATAGACATGTGGTTTGTATTTGAAATTCATTAAAAGAACAAATGCTAGGCAACTGTCTCTCTCGAAGAAGAAGAAGAAGAAGAAACATTCCCAAAATCAATGCTTTAAGGAAGATGGCTTTAACAGAAGGTGTGATGTGGCAAGCTCTACTCATTACTGATATATTTTACATTTATTTGTTTGTCACTAGGTGAGTTTAATCATCTTTATTCACTTTACGGGATTTGGAAGACTTTACATGTATCAATAGCATAATACATCAATTATCAATGAGCAATGTTTCTTAAAAAGGTTTTAAAAAACCCTCCACTTCTATCCTGGTTTGTTTCTCAAACAATAAAATAAAAACGACCATGTTTTCTACACTTAACCAATAGGGAGTCAGACTTTATCAGTAGTTGAGTAACTTACCTAGACTTCATGCCAGGCTTGATCTCCACATTTTTGTCAGAGCTGGCCACGACTCGCACAAACACCTCACCAGCCTCTGGGTGGTTCTGCCTTTTCAAGTACTTATTCACTCGGTCCTCAATGTACGTCCCCAACCGGGTCGTCTGCAATCCTTTACAGAGACCCGCGCAAAGACAACAACAAAACGCCTTTAATATCATGACAACTTGAAACAAAGAAGAATTATATGAATGTAATGTTACTGCTGTTTAACTGGACAATGTACAATGAAACTCACTTCTGGCAGAAAATTTGTTCTCCTTTCTTGTTTTGCCCGACTTCTTCAGACAGTTGTCACAGATAAAGCTAGAAGACGAAACATCAAACTGGAGTTTAGAGTCAACTTAAGGTAACACAGGCAATTACACAATTCTAGTAAGAAGAAGTAAGGGTTTGGTACTCTGCAAGTTAAGAATTCTATTAAGGTTAAACGTAGACTTTATATGCTTAAATGGTTGGATACTCATACAGCCGTAGCGAGACTTACCCTGATGGCCAAATGACATCGTAGTGCAGCACACAGATCTGATGCATCTTTCGCCCACAGTCTTTACATTCAACAAACCTGATGAGGACAAAAATGTGATGTTTCTGTGCTTTCCTTGCGTAATAAAGAAATATCACTGCCATAACATTAATGAGAGTCAAACTGTAGTAACTGTGCAGACGGTACTCACGGTTCAGGGTCCAACATGTCATTTTTCTTCTTTTCAAACTGCTCTTTTGATATCATGCTGCACGAGAGATAAAAAAACAACCGTGTTAATTGTGCCCTTGTGATTAAAACCCCTCTTTAAAAGTAGAGAGAAACCAGCTGGATAATCTCGGCAGAGGATCATCAGGTGGAGTCTGGCCACCCGGCCTGGTAACTTACGTCTGTTGCTGTGAGGGGTCGTCCCCCAGGGTCACGCTGTTTCCCTGGATCTCGTTGAAGCACTTCTCGCAGAAGTGATACCTGTCGGAAAGAAGGCCATATTTGGGTGAACGGCACCCAGCACACACAGTAGCAGAACAGGCAAACCGGCGTACAGGCGTTACAGTTAACGGAGAACACGGAAACAACCGAGGACAGAGCATGAGCAGCGGACAGATGGACACACACACACACACAGGCAGAGGACATGTTAGTGACAGGTGAAATGGTCATGAGCCAGCCACTTTCATTCAAACTGGAACAGAAACGCCAGAAACATTTTATGTCAAAAACAAATGAATTTTCAAACAGAGAGTGCTATACCATCTAAATGCATGCTGAAATATACATTTAAAGAAACTGTCCACTGCATTCATTTATAACTAAAGCAACATGCATTATTAGTGGATAAAGGAAAGATATGGTCATGCTGTGGGAAACAGTGTGAGTGATACTCAAAAACAAATAAGCCAGATAACTTTTGTAGGGACGGTTTATATTATCACAGGTATTTCTTTCTTAAGAATTTAGATCCAAATTTTGTCAAATTATAAAGTAGTAAGTACACTTCTTTGAAAATATAAACATTAACAATATATATATTTTCAAATGTTTTTAATCTTAAGTTGTTCAAAGTAACACCATTTGGTAGCGAGTACTTGCAACAACCGAATGGTGTTGCATAGGAGTGATGGAGGTGCAGATGCAGCCTCTGCCCAGCAGGGGGAGCTTTGGTGCTGGCTCTTTGGCAAAACAGACATACGGACAATGTGGGGCCAGATAATGCCCATTCTGCTCTGCCACAATATACAACTCTAAGTGGGGTTTGTGACACCCCTATAAAAGAAAGGTCATGTGAATAACGTCATGAAAACGTTGTTGACTTGTATGGCTGTTTGTGTTGTCTTGGGCCATATTTAGTCTTTGAGGATATAGCCGCCCTTTTTCTCTTCATAAACCACCATTCACCTCTCTGCCTCTCAGCAAAGTCGGTATATCATTTACCTGTTCTGGTAGCTGTAGTAGGTGCCGTCCCTGGATATGGTACACAACTGTTTGCCATAGCAACACAACGTCTGGGGTGAGAACTCATACTGTGGAAAAGTGAAGAGAGTCACATTAGCATCCATGGCATTGGCTCAAGTCAACATCCACATACAGGTGAAGACAACTGAGAAGTTAAATGGTGGTCCATGTGTCCTGAAACATTCAGGAACAAATGCCCAAACATCTGGTCAAATATTAACTTTTGCAATTGATTGAAATAAGAAATAGAAAGGCTACATGAAGAATGACATCATTAAGGTGTTCAGATTTATAATGTTTTCATTTGGAACAGATTCTGCCACACGGTGCTTTCACTATAATCAATGAAAGGTGTGAGAGCAGTGTGTGGGTAGCGTGTGTTCACCACAGAGATCCGCTCTACAATCAGGCCAGGCTTCTATTTATATATTTTTATTCAGTGTGTTTACACAGAAATGGGTCATTAAGGTTAATTCTTTTAATTATTATTATTTACTACCAATCTACAGATTATTACTTATTGGCAGTACGAGCTGGCAGTTTCTTTGTATCTGTATCCCTTAAATTGCTGTAGACTGTAATTAAAATCATATCACACAAAATGCTTAATTGCATTTCGGAGAAAACGTTTGTGTGAGTCACTGCCTTATACGCGAAGCAGGTGTAGCCAGTACAAATGTCAAACTTAAAGGTCCCCTATTATACTGTTTATCATCAATATATTATAGGTCTCAGTTATACACAAACATGTCTCTGAAGTGTTTGGCTCGAAATACAAAACAGATCATGCATTGTAGCGTCCCATAATCCCCTCTGTTTCAGGCCTGTTTCAAAAGTGCTGATTTTCTGTCTGTTACTTTAAATGAAAATAAGGAGCCACTCCCAACGCCCCTCTGAGAGATATTTGGTTAAAAAGAACACATTGGTGCTCTAGGAGGAGATTCAGGTGATAAGGTGGGGGCGGGGGTTACCTTGGTTGGTGATTGGCTAATGGTTACACAAGCCAAAAAATCGTTATGACATCATAAAGTGGCCAAAATCTGATCAGCTCATTTTCAGACAGGTTTTTATATAAATGGATCAGGACGAAAAGTGAGCAAATCTTTTTTCCTGAAACTTTCAGAATCTCTTTACACAGAGGGGACACATGTTTATGTATAAAAGATATGGAAAAGTGGATTTTGCATAATAGGTGACTTTTAAGTAGATATCCCGTTTAAAAAAAATGGATTTTTACCATATAACCCTGTAATACAGTATAAGTATATAATAATTGTTGTGTCTTACCTTCCTGCCGCAGCAGTAACCCAGGCCCTGCATGACGGGATCAATCTCTGCTTCAAACACCTCTGACAGTTTAGAGCAGTATTTGTAGACACGGGATGTTTTGCGGTTGTACAGCCAGGCGTTGTTGAACATGAGCCACACATCGTCCACATACTGCCACGGCTCCTGGTACTGACCCGTGTCCAACTTGCGCTTGATGGTGGATAAGTCAATGGGAGTCTTCACAATGTCAAAGTAGTCCTGTGCAGCGGGGGAGACATATTTGCAGCAATGAGCGGACCATACTTAACATTGTTTTCTGCAGGTCTTTTATTATATGAATTGTGTGTGTGTGTATATAGTTGTGACCACTCACGGGGATGCCTAGCTGCATGGGGTCTACAGGCTGTCTGAAGGGCAGTGACTCTGGGTCCTGCCTGTAGAGGGCCTCAAGTGTTGGCATCAGGGCTTGCCTCAGCTCCTCTGGCTTGAAAACTGCGCAGACAATAATAATGTTACACAAACAACATATTTGAGTGTGCAAACTAAGACAATATTCTACCTTAGTGGGATATACAAACCAACTGTGCCCTATCTTAATGTACACATGATTTATAACACATTTCCTTCATATTCTGATGTCACAAAATATCAAAACACAATCTATTGTTGCAACTAAATATGTGACCTGCTCTATCGAAATCAGTCGCATTGACCCGAAGACACATTTTGAGTTGTATACATTGTTGGAAAGAGGAGATTCCTAACTTTCTAATAATATCAGGATTGTTGTTGTACTCCAAATATTAAGCAAAATATGTCACATTATATAATGACTGTCACCGAGTCATCATTTTGAGAAAAAGGCCTTCAAAGTTTCCTCTTCTCTGGAATCCATCGATCCGATTGATTATCAGCGGAGCAAATGATCAAAATAGTCCGGAGGGAAAATATTTCCGTTTGGATTACTGGTCTGGGGGAAGCTCGCATGTGTGTGTGTGTGTACGTGTGTGTGTGTTTGTGTATTTTTGCGCATTGTGTTTGTTTCCCGGGGAAAACACTCGCGAGAAACACCGGCTGTTGTTATGCTTGCTGTGACGTTAAGTTACTCCGTACTCCGTTCTCCGCTTGTAACTATGCCGTTACAAGCTTCAAAGTTGTATTTATCATCTGAATTTTCCGAAACAAGTTTAATATTCTGAAAGCCAAGACTTTGTTTAATTGAAATCAGATGAAAACAAACTGTAACGGACCCTGCCGTGTTATATATGATTACTATACGCCTTACATTCATAATTTCAGCCGGAGGGAGGGGAAGCAGCGCTACGGAACATCAGAGTGGCGAGTGAGAGCTGTCATCGTCCCTTTAGAAGCTTCAGAAATGTATTTATCGTGTGATTTTGAAAATAAAAGTTTCATATTCTGAAAGACTTTGTTTATTTAAAATCAAACAAAACACCCGAACCCCGGAAAACTATTTTTTTTACGCAAATCCATGTTTATTTTGAAATGAGCCGTTGCGACTTCCGACTGATTTCGATAGAGCGGGTCACATATATGAGATCTGGGTTCTTACTTTTCTTGCGGCTCTGAGGGCTGGAGGAGGCTGATGTGCCGTTGGCCCCGCCCTCCTCCTCTTCTTTGGGTTCTGTCTTTATCTCGGGCTTCTTGTCCTCAGTTTCCATCGGTTCCTGCTTTGGCTCTGTTGCATCGGGCTCCTCCTTCTTCACTAAGGGTTTGGTTTCATCATCCGGCTTTATGAACAAAAACATGGTTAACCTCCTTATACTAGCATACAGAGCCAGGAAGAAATCATTTAATGCACAAGATTGACTTATTTGGACTTAGTCTGTAACAACAGGGGTCAACAGGAAAGTGCTTCGAGATCTAGAGCAGACATATGTGGGATTTTATTTCTTTGAGGTACTAAATTGTCCCCGATATCATACCTCCATTTTTATATCTTGCTGCTTCTTTCCAGACCCGCTGTCCTCTTCTTCGTCTTTGACTTCAGGTTTGGCTTCAGTGCTGTTCATGTCTGGCAGGGCCTGCTGGGAGCTCAGCTCCGCCACAGAGGCTGGGGTGGGCACCCTGTTATCTATACTCGCTGCTGCCTGGGACAACTGGGAGAAGAAGAGAGATTATGATCACACAGCTGATAACTCGCATATCAAGTCAAGCTGTCCGTCAGTGATCCTCTCTCACACAATTTCTCTATTATATATTATTCAATAATTAGTCAAAAGACCTGCCAGCGCGGAAAGAAACTGGCAACAACTTAAACGATACTAGTTCAATTGATGTATGGACGATATTGGTTGTTTTTTTATAAGAAAGCGAAACTCGACCAATATGATAACCAATCATTTTTGTTAGATAATAATGATGCAAACCTGATGGTAAGAAAGGCTAAACTGCAGTGAGGAGGGACGGATTATTAATATGTTATAGCAGTTCTGACTCTTCAAATATTTATTTTGAGTGAAGTTTATCTGAAGAGTTGTCCTCGTCTGAAAAGCTCGTACACCGGAGACAACATGTTCTGCACTCGAGTAAGCATGCTCTGTCTTTAAACAATTTGTTTACGTAATATTAGCCCATAAAATATCAGGTATAATTTAAGAGTAAAACAGTAAGAGCCAGTATCTCACCGGTGTGCTGGGGTGCTGGGCCTGCACTGAAGTGGGCTGCTGCATCTGACTGGGGGGGTCTGTCTGTGGTTGCAGGGGCGTGAGTGGCTGGGAGGGGTCCGGTGTGCCCATGGCTGAGGGGGGGCCTTGGAGGCTACTGGGCATGTGTGTTGGGGTGGAGGAGGGTCCTCCGGTGGAGGTAGGGGTAGTGGGCTGCGGTGGGGCCTGTGCCTGTGATGAAGCATGGTGCTGCTGCAGCTGATGGGGCTGCAGGCCAGCAGAGGCATTGGGTGGGGGGGGTGGGGCCCAGCGAGGGCGGGGCTGCAGGGCCACAGGGCAGCTTGGAGCCGAGGGGTCCCAGCGCGTTCAGAGGGAGGTTAGAGTTCTGTGGCTGCCGGATCAAAGAGGTTCAACGTTAGAATACCAATTAACAAATATTTGTTATCAATTTTATTAATTGTTTCATCAGTAAAATGTAAAGAAAGTGTAAAAGAAATGTCCAAAAGGATGGCTTGAATGTCCTGTTTTATATTTGACATGCTGAACAATTACCTTAATACAGATTCAACTTTGTATTCATTTTGTTCTCATCCAACAAATTGTTAAGTGGAATATAATGGCAGCTCTAACTCATACAGCATCCAACATGGCGTTTCTCATGAGGCCTGCTTAGAAGAATGCAATGAGAATATAGCACAGCTCTGGTCTCCTCACCTGTTTGACAGCAGACTGTGTTATGGGCTGGCCGAGGTTTACATTCACATTCATTGCTCCTCCTGTAGCAGCAGTGAACTGGCCCTGCGGCAGGAACTGGCCCTGATTGGCCGGCTGAGCAACCATGTTATTAGCATGACTACTCATCATTCCTTGAGTCTGAGGGATTCTTGAGGGGGACATACCCATCTGTAAAAGAGAAGGGGAGATGAAACAGATAAAATCATTATGGCGGCTAGCATTCACTGCCTGCCAAGTAAAATAAAGTGAATGGAATGCAGCATGCATGCTACGGCTACGACAGTCTTATAAATGACATGTGGTGTGACTTGCAAGTAAACAATGTGCTGAATCAAAACACAGCATGGCAATACAAAACCTGGGAGGAACATTAAATAGCTGTAAGCCTGACCTCAGGCACTGCCTTGGTTTCATTACAAATCATTAATTAAAAGCCAGGCAATAATTGGATTAGGCAAAATTCCATACTGATGCTTTAGTGGCAACAGACTAAGAAATGAACAATCAGTCAAACAGTTTGAAGCTAAGAGGAACAAGGAATAGCAGAGAGAGCCAAAGAATAATTTAGAAAAATGGACTGGGAACAAAACTTGAAAATGGTTCCAAAACAAGCAAGTTAAAGATAGCAAGTGACAGAGTAACAAATGAATAAAAGAAAAAAAGGGAGGGGGAAAAGAATCAGAGAGACGGAATAAAGATCTAACCGTTGGGACGGAGCTCATGTTCATCTGCTGTGGATGGTTCATGGGGGAGGGGGCTCGTGCTCCCATGGTTGCCTGAGACATCGCCATTGGGTTAAACTGATTGATTCCTGTGGGAACAGATACATATATATTCACAATTGTTCGTCATACTTGGGAGTATGTCATGTCATATTTCATATCCTACTGGGCTGGCAGAGACACTGAACCAATCGTGTGCACAGGAAACAAAAACACACTCTACTGTTGAAAGCTCACCAACTTTCTATATTACATTTAAACATCAATATATTAGCAAACAGATTATCCAAAAAGAAAGAGCATACCTTGGGGCACCTGCATACGGTTCATTAACTGATTTGGCATGTTGGGCATAGGCACAGGTCCATCTAAATAAAAGGCAGGATAAAGAAGGGATTCGTTACAGAAATGCTTGGTACATGTATCAACTGAGAACTGCAGAATAGTTAGACGAGGCCAATTCTGAACCCTTAACGGCCCGCCCACACAGCGGCGTGTGTTGAAAGCTTCACCATTCACTTTGAATGCGGTGACGTCACTTTTCGCCGAACTGCATTGTGGGAAGCGAAGCGGAGCTTTGCTGGCGTGGCTCGCTGCAAAAGTTGAGCAATGTTCAACTTTTGAAGCCTCGGCAGAAGCGTCAGCCAATCGAATCATATGCCAGTACAAGCTCGAGCCAATCAAACCGCTGCTTGTGTGTCAGGGGCGGGAGATTCATGTGATTGGTTGTTGGTCGAGTTTCAGACACGCCCGCCGGCAAGCTTCAACGCACGCCGCTGTGTGGACGGGCCGTAAGTGTCTTTCCCTAATAATATTTTGATTACAAAGAGTGTAGAGAGTTTGGCTACTGACTAGGAGATCGGACGGCCTGTCCCGGGACCATGGAGTTGGGCTGCTGAGGCCCGGCTGAGCCCACCATGCCAGGCTGTTTCTGCAGCCGCGAGCGTCTCTTCTCCTCCAATTCTTTCTGTATTTTGTAGATTTCTCCGCCAGGAAGTGGTAATACTCATCCTAGTGAGGGAGAAACCAAAAAAACAGATAGAAATTAAAAAATGATAACAAATGTGTTTCATGACAGAGGATAAGCCATGTGATCAAAAAACATTAACGTAAAATCCCTCATCGCTCAGGTTGTAGCAGTGTGATATTAAAAACAAGTGTGTGTTATAGTAGTTACCCTGCTGTTAGCTGACTCGTACATGTCACCCTCAACCTTGCGTGCGTACGCCACCAGGTTCTCCATCCGCCGGTCCTTCAGTGCTGCGGGGTCTGGGGTGGGGAATATGGCTTGTACACTGGAGAGAAAACAAACAGAGAAATACAAAAAAATCAGCAAAAGCCCAAAGCACCAAGTGATATCCTGTTTTCATATGACAGAAAGAGTTTTTAAATCTATTTATCATTTTTGTACTTACAGTTTGTGCACCAGGTGGGTGCGCAGGTCCTGAGTGACGTGTTCATGCCAGGACTTCCTTACCCCCGAAGAAGAGAGAGGGGTGGCAGTGGGCAGGTTTCCCATGCCTCCCGCTACTGACCCATCTGGCATCAGCTGACTATAAAACAGAGACAGAGAAAAAATGACTTAGAGAATTGAAATTATTGATAATTCCACACATGGATTATCAATTACTAAATAGTCAAATACTTTTATCCTACCGTATATTTTCAAGTTATATTTAAAAAGAACCTAAAGGCCGTAATACAGATGAAATCATGGATGATTAAACCGAAACAGAAGCCAAAGAATCAGAAATAGTCGATCAACAGAAAAATAATCAGCATCTATTTCAATGATAGATTATTTATTTTTCTGTCATCACTGATCAAATAGAACTTTTCGGCTTTTTTGTTTGCCACACATTATTGTAAACTAAATATTTTTAAGCTATTTAGATTTTTTATTCCAACTAAACACGACATTTAAAGATGGCGCTTGGTTCTTTAAAGTTGTGATGGCCTTTTGGTAGTTGAAGCCCTACTGCGTATATATAATGAAATGGTAGCTACATCAAATACGATTCTTTGTCTTATATTAAGGAGGAGAATGCTCACTTGTTGAGTGATGATGGAAGAGAGGAGTCGGAGTGCATGCCAGCTAGGTCTGAAGAGGGGACCCCCATGCCTCCTGCCATCTGGTTCATCTGATTAGTGCCTGATAAACACATTGCATTTAGGGTTAGCAAGAAAATGGCTTAGCAACAGATTTAGAGTATTGTTCACATTCGCACGTCATCCTCCAAGATGGCACTGATGTCCTATCCATCACATACCTAGTGCGTTAAGACTTCGCAGCTGCTGGTGCTGGGGGCCCTGGGCGTTCTGCTGAGCGGGCCCCTGCCCCGGGACCTGGGCCGGGGACTGGTTCCCATACGGCAGGCCGAGTGCAGCGTAGGCCCTCTGCATGGAGCTGGGGTCGATGTGTGTGGCAGCGCTGTTGATGGCGGTGGCGCTGGGCTGGCCCGAGCCCACGGAGCTGATGGCGCTCTGCAGGCTGGCCCCCGGAGAACTGAGCATGGCTGGAGGGAGGAGACGAGGAAATAGATAAGTGGTTTGTCAATAATGAGCTAATAATAAAAGACTAATTAAATATAAAGCCGGACATTGCCATTAATAACTGTGCATATACCTGGCTGCTACATCTTCAGAACTGTTACAGGATGTGTATTTTGTAAATTGTGTAATTATTTAGATTTTTTTAATCTTTAATATTTTTTTTATGCATGCTTGTTAGTTAACATTAAGCTGTCTTTGGCTCTTTTCTGCTGTAACAAATGGAAATGTCCCCTCTGTGGGACGAATAAAGATATTCTGATTCTGACATACTGTATAACACATATAATTAACATTAGTTTAAAAAAAGAAAGCCTGAAATATAATTAACAAAAGTCTAAATAATCAAATGTACATTTGAGTATGTATATATTTACTCAAATGTAAAAGTAAATAACATTAAATATTTTAAAAGTTTCTTTTCTGTGTAAAGAAACAAAACCTCTCAGAAAAGATTATCTTTCTGAGCGGACCTCCATCTAAAATCCCTGCTCCGCTCCCTGCTGTGTTGATTGCTGACAGGGAGCACGCTGCCTCTGTGGGGGATTTAAATCTGTCATAGGGCCTTTCAGCCAATCAGAGAGCCTGCTGTCCCAAGACCCTGCCCCCACAGATAGCAGAGCCACGGAGCCCCTCCCCCCGGGTGTCAGATTACAGGTCCAGCCTTTCTAGAGGAATCCTCTCAATGTTTGAGCGAGCCTGTACAGAGCTTTGTCAGAAAAACTCAACCTGCAGGGGGCAGCACTTCATACAGCACTCTGACTGGAGCCTCGCTGAGAGGAGACTGCCTGGTAGAGCAGTGTTCAAGGCATCAAAGATTTATTTCTATTTTTTTACAAGGTGCTATTCAAGCATGCCATTTGTTCTCCATTGTCTTTTAACTTACCTACATGCATTTGTATATGGATTTGTAAATGAATAATAACAAATTGGAGTTGGTTGAGAGACTCACGTTGCTGGTTCCTCTTGTCACTGGCGTTCTTTAGAGGCAGGCAGACCGGACAGTCGTGCCGCGTGCAGTTCTTCCAGTGGGAGATGATCTGTCTGGATGATGCACAGTGAGCCACTGCGGAGAATAGAAACAGAAACAGAGACATTAAGTGAAGTTTGCATATTCAGTAATTCAGCAGTATCGGACATTTAAAAGTTAATTATTTAAAAACAGACGTTTGATAAAGGAAACACACGTAAAGCATACAACGAGTAAAATGAGTGTAGGCACTTTTAAAATGGCTGGATAAATTAATTAAACCAGGCACCATGTCAACTTAAAATACAGGGCACTAAAAAAGCATCAACTGCTACAGTGCAATGTGCAAATAGCTTTATAAAGGCAATTATGCATCGTAAATCCATAAAAGCGTCATTGCATTTGCTTTAAGCGTATAAACAGTATAAATATCATAGTTCAAAGTTCATCAACCTTGGCTGACCCCCTTACTACCCACAGCTGGCAGAGAGAAGATGCTTGTCGTCAGCATGTTCAAGGAAATGGAGTGAAACCATCATTACAGCCGTTTAAAAAAAGATTAAATTCAAGTTTGCTGATCTTGTCAGTCACCGGGCCATTTGGGGCTTAGTGACTCAAGAGTGGCTCTATTTAGGCAATACAACACAAAAGCTTAATACTTTCTAGTTGACATTGTGTAAAACAATGCAACTTAAATGTCACCTATCATGCTATTTGTAGGCAATAGCAATAAGTCTCAGATATATGAAAATATATAAAAAAACATGTCTATGAAGTGTTTTGGTAAAAAAAAAAAAACAGATCACCCATTCTAGCCATGCCTCATATCCCTCTATTTCTCTTCCTGTTACAAAAGTGCTGATTCTGGGTATAAACAGGTCTCTCGAGAATGAGACCCTGTGTCTCAATGAGATTTTCACCTGTATAAATAAAAGCTAAATAAAAAAATAATAACGCTTTTTTTTTTTTAAACTGAAAAAAGTTAAAATAAAAGGGGGCGGAGCTTATGCGGGACCTGGCAGATACTGTCTAAAATGCTGCGGTGATGAAACACAAGGATTATTAGATCAAGGATTATGTCTGAAACAGTATGGAGCTCAAAGGCTTTCTCTCTTGCCGGTTATACCACAAGGTGAGTTCCTTTTTATTTCCTGCTTCTTCACACATGCTCTGTGCAGTACAGGTTAGCTCTGAGTGTTAGCGATGCTAATGTAAACACCGACCATATTACGTCCAAAACAGTCTGGCATTGTTTCTGATAGCAACGTTTCTGATAGTGCTGTGGGTCCGCCGCCGATTTGACGTCATATCGGCCGCAAATCTGGATCAGCTCCGTTGTAGCCCCGTTTTTAGAGATTTGGGTACGGAGGAAAAGAGAGAGGGTTTTATTTTCTGACGCTGCGTGAGTTCCCTGACACATATTTATGTATAAAAGACATCAAAAAGTGCATTTTGCATGATAGGTCCCCTTTAAGCGATCAAAAAGCACTTCATCATCATACTGCTCTTATTAAAAGTCAAGAATATAAATCTTTCATCGAGAGTATTCATAATATCTTCTCTTGCACCATCTGTCTAACAACGCAATTTGGTAGTTTTTTGGTATAAAACGGATGCAAATTTCCCCAAAACTTCCTCAACCAGCCGTCAGCCACCTATAGATCAATAAACAATTTTGCTAAGGACAACATTGGCGAGCGGTTATGCAAAGAGCTGAAGGCGACAGGCACTTTTGGCAGATTAGAGGACTTAAAAACTCAAACAAGTCATCAGCACCTTGTGCCCCTGTTGTATGAAAAGCGACTGGCATTCTGCCCACATAACAGGCTTGTGAGCAGATCAATCGACCAGCAATTGGTAGCAGCCTTTCTTCATTCTGAATAGTTTCACTGGTGTTCAGATGACGCATCGATTCTGAATTGAAATGTTTTCAATACTCAAATGCCTGCTTTCGTGCTTGCTTGTTAATTTAATCAGAGAGCACGGCAGCTTTGAATTATAACTAGGTTTATTTTAATTTTATTTAACCAGGATAGGTCTCATTAGGTATTTCTTACAGTAATAAATTACAAAATATAAAAATCACAAAAATGCTAATTAGTGGCAATTTTCAGTAAGATCACAATATATCCACACATTGAAAAAGGGGTCAGCTAGAAATGTAACATATATCATATTACACTCATATTTTCACTCACCCTGGCAGGACTTGCCGGCCTGGCAGTGGGTCATGTGGTTGAGGACGTTCTTCATGGTGCGGCAGTGGGGCAGAGTGCAGGCCCTCACCTCCCCGTTGGCCTGTTCCCGCCGCTGGCACTTGTGTGCGTGGAGCAACAGGACCAGCTGCTGCTGAATGAGTTTGCGCTTCTCCGGGTCGGCCGTAGGTCCCGCTGACACCCCACCGGCCCCGGGAACCATGCCCACCGACGCTACCTGCTGCTGCATCTGGGACTGAAAAAGAGAACCAAAACAAACAAACAACGGTTAGGCACAGATCATAATGTCAGACTCCACTCATCTTAGATGTTAAGGTGTTAAGTAAAAACAAAAAGAAATCCAGATACGAATCAAATCTATTGTCATAAAGCAAGGTCTTAGAGATGTGGGATGATTACAATTATATTAAGATTTCAGAAAACCTACATTTTATAATTGCACAAAAATTGAGAGGCTGCCATTTCCTGCCTAGATTAGGTGAATTCTTTGTTCCTGCAACAGAATATCACAGCTACAGGCTCTTGTTACTTTGTGCCTTGTAAGAGTACATACTTAACAGCTTAAATGTTCCATCAATACCACATTAGACAGCCTTCAGCAATTAGGCCGCCCTTTATACATTTGCCTGGTGAAATAAGTCGTCATTACATTTTCAATTAAATATTTCAATTTTAGCAGAAGGCCGTTGTCTGGTACATTACCAACAAATATGGCGGTTATATCAGACCATGGATGTTTGAAGTGAACTGGATACAACGTTGGATAAAAGTGTGTATACTGGGTAGTATAGTTAAAAAAAGATTATCCCCAGATTTACAGACCTCTCATTCCAAGTGTAAATCAATGGGAAAAAGTATTTTTGGGCCTAATGATGTCACATGAGTTGTAGTACCGCTGTTTGGCCACTACGAAAGTTTGCATCAACGTCCTGGGGGCTTGTATCAGACTTAAGCCTCTTTTTTAAAAGAATTGAAAATGTATATGATAATTGTCAGGGCATAAATCCAATTATTTGTTGATATGTACAAACCAAGACTCCATTTTCTTACATTAACATGGCTGTCAATGCTGAAAAAATAATGTAAATAGAAAATGTTATGAAAATCGTGGCTGTGAGTATAAAATTGAAAGTAACGTTATGAAATGTGAAGTGTGTTTAAAGTTCATTCGTTAGTGAAAAGATGCTACAACTCCTCAAGAACCAAGTCAAGTTCTTGTGGCTTGTTTGAAAGCTGCTGAGAAATGTGATGGAGGTTACCCTGAAGTTGGTTATGACTTCAGCCAAAGCTCACGTTCTGATGTTTAAAATGGACCCGCAATACTTTCTTCTCGAATGTTGCTCAGCTTCTTACAACAGCATGTTCCATATCAAGACTGAACCCAAACTAGAAGGAAGTCTGTGTTTACTTTGTGACCAATGAGTTTGCTTTCTTTCTAATGCTTAACATTGTAGATAAAAAAAACATAGGCTCCTTTATGGCAGCATGTCAAGGTTTCTTTAAAATGTCTATGCCAACTCTCCTTATAGAAGCACAAGGCTGAGAGCGAGGATGGGATACTGTACATGCTACAATGGTTGCAGTCTTTTTGCTCATGTCTGCAGAAGAGATAGTGTCTGAACTCACTGACAGTCTAAAGAACAGCAAATCCATTCCTAATAAATATTGAACATCTTTAGTTGGAAACAGGACATGCGCCCACTGTAAGTGTGTTTTGTATAGCAGCAAAATATTAACACTTCGAATCCCCCTCAGCAGGTTTAGCTTTTATATTTGATGTGTACTGTTGCTATTGTAATTCTCGTAGCAGGCTAATTACCGTAGTAACTAAACTGAATTGCCACAAGACACGCCTTGTTGCAGTGGACTAAACGAGCAGTGGTGTAGTAATGTTACTAATCATAAAGAGCCAGAAACAATGAAAGACATGTAACATTTCTCACACACTTTTCACAGCTTAGTCAAGCACATTGCCATAGCCAGAATAGTGACAACGTTGTCAGGCTTTATTTTTCGTAACCACTTTAAGTCCGAAATTATAAATCCTTTATTTGTCCAACAGCGTGGGAATATACAGCAAAACACTGCAGATAAAAGGCAAATATAAAAAGAGTAGTCTAACATTCAATATGGAGGCAAGCACAGGTTCATAAAAATAAGAACAAATAGCGTTAAATCATGGCAAAATGAGCAAACGAGCTAAACGTACACCGTTAATGACCTAGCTAGCTTTGCAATTGCTTCCTACTTTATACACTCGTTACAGAAAATGAGCCCAACAGCATGCTAGTAGCTAGCTGGGTCTGACGATAACAGCCCCTCCCCCAACGCTCTAAATAAGAACAACATTGGTCCACTCTCTCCCCGGAAAGCTGCGACCACACTTTTTGGCCCGCTGACTTTTCTTGTCATCATGACAAATAAAAACAATAGACATTTACTTTTTAACTAGTCCAATGACCACAGAACAGTTCAATGTTGGTTCTAATCCTATTCTGTTTCCATGATTTACCCTTAATAAGTCACAAAATAAAATAACATTGAAGAGACACTTACCAGGTTTGGCAAACTCCCAGCTCCCTTCAAGTCAGCAGGGAATTGTGGCAGGTTGTTGGAAAGCGCCGTCTTGTTCTGGAGTTGTTGGGCATTGACCCCGACTGCCCCCATCTGCTGCACCCCAGACTGACCATACTGCTGGCCAAATGGAGCTCCTGACATACCCATCTATAATAGACAATCAGGACAGAGGGAGGTCAGAAATGTTGCACATATTGTAGCATAACATCACATTAGATCAATCTTTTGCATGAGCGAAGAGTCTTTGTACCAAGGCATATGGTCCAGTACACATCAGTCAAAAGTAAACATACAGTGAACATTGCAAAACTCTATGTAAATGCAAATAACCCCTGTAAATCTTTTATCTTAGGCCTAGGCTCCACGGGAACGAAAACGGGTTGAATCCGCATATTTCTCTTGCGTATAGCCCTTTAAGCTACACGACGCCGTAACGGAACGGTAGAAATGGACCCTGCAAACGACAACGGGTCCAAAGGTGGATAGATCTGGGAACGGAGCGCTCTGGGGGGGTCCAACGGCTCCGTGTGGTAGCCTATACGGTCATCCGTTTCTGATAATGACGACGCAATAGCCCCGCCTCTCCTGCTCACCCCCGCAAAAGTACACTGCACACTGAATTCAGATTATTTATCTTTATCTCGATATGGACATAAACACGAGTGAAGTCTAATCTGACAGGACGGAGACACGCAGCTCCTCCCGCTGTGATGCAGCGGGAGCAAAACACACACTTCAAGTCAGATCATCACCCTTAGCTATTTTAATTACCTCTCAAACTACCTAAACTAGTTATAAATATGTTTATTTTTACTGTTGAGTCATCATTACTGGATCAGCTGCTGCATGAGACAGACACTGACGCTGTCAGAAGAGAGGAAAAAGAGACAGGCTCCGTGTATTTTATTATTATATATCATTATATCGTCGTTATTCATTTGTTTTAAAGCTCAATAAATAACAATGAAGACCTTTGACCGGCACTTTTATAATTTTGTCCGGAAGATTTAAACTTTAACACACGTTGACCGGCGAAAAACTCTGCCCGGTTCCCTCGGCCCCCACCGCGGAGAATAAACAGAAGTGCAGCCATGACAACCATTCTTCTTCGCTGCTTTTGTGGAGGAAGTTGCTGCTTTTGTGGAGGAAGTTACAGCGCCACGTACAGGCTCGGCATATGTACTGCAGCTTTTCCAGCGGTTGGATGTAAACGGAGCTGTCTCGTGTAGCAAGACACAATCCGGTGTATATTGCGTGTGGACGGAAGCTTTTTGGCGTTTGCGTTTGCGTTAATCCTATGCGTTTTGCCGTATGCGTTCCCGTGGAGCCTGGGCCTTATTCTGCCTTTGCATTTAAAGGCTGCTTGAAAGCATCAGGTAGGAATTTGCCTCCAGTTAGATTTTTCCTCGTCCCAAAGAACGGCATATTTGCTGATGCCATTGTGTTACCATTTAACATATCCAACAATGTGGCAACACCAACATACTGTCTTAGTCTTATACACAACTCTCTCTCCTTTATTGTTTTAGCTGTGTTTAATTTGCGCTCACCATAGTGTGAATTAGGGGTGTTGAAAATAATCATTTCTACGATGCGGACGTGGACGATTCGGTATCGATGCAGTGACGGAAGATAACCGATTATAGCGTAGTAACGTTGCTTCCTGATTTTCCGGCCGCGGCTTTACTATAATGTTTTTTTTTCTGTCACTTTAATATCAAATCGGTCGGTGACGCAGAGATCAGGGAACAGACGTGACAGCGGCACCAAACACGGAGCAGTCTGTTTTATCCACCAACACAAGAACACCAGTCCAGAACCAACAGCAGAAGGACCCGCTCTGAATCACTCCGTGTTGCTGCGGCTCAGAGACACAAGGATTTATGTTTTTCAAAAATAATCGCGTTACAATCATGTCAGGTTTTTGGTGGATTTAATTAAGTCTTGGATTGCAGAGTATGAATTAGGAATGTCCCGATCACCTTTTTTTGCTCCCGATCCGATTCCGATCATTTGATTTTGACAATCTGCCGATACCGATTTTTCCCGATCCGATCTTTATGCAATGCATTAAGAGAAAAAAAAGGTAACAGATAACGGCTGGTCATCCAACGCGATGAATTCAGCTATCTTGGCTGTTATTTTTTTGGCCTTTTCACTGTTCTGGGGCAGCTTCTCTTTCCTTTTAAAAGTCTCTGAAAGTGTTGGTTGTTTCAGTGCCGTTACCTGAGTGGCTGCTGTGTACTCGTCGTGTTGTTGTTGGTATTTGTATTAGATTGGTCGTGTTGAACGTAGCTCTGTTCTTTCCACCACGCGGAACCTCCGCCTTGCAAACATTGCATCTGGCTGTTACACTGCCTTCGCTTTCAATTTTATAATACTTCCAAACTCCTGACATTTTCTCTGTCCCGACTCCCGAGGCACCAGCTGAACGTAGCCTATTGTTAGCTTACTGCTACTATTAGACACTGCGCCCACTCTGTTGCCAGATTTGAGAGAAATAAGCAGCCAGGTCTATGAAAACAAGCCCAAAAGAAGCAACACATACATGATGTTGTGTAATTTTAAACCAAAACTAAGGCCTCAGGATGACTTTAAGACGTGAACATGGTCATTTTTGTTTTGTAACATTAAATAAAATAAAAATATTTTATATAAAAAAAAAATTTTTTTAAAAAAAGATATTCCCGATCCCCGATTTTTTTCTCCCGATTCCGATCTTTTGAAAATCACGTGATCGGCTCCGATCCCCGATCACGTGATCGGATCGGGACATCTCTAGTATGAATGTCCTCTAGCAATTTTCAGACGATATTATTATATACGTGTGTAAAGTTTGTGAAGGCAGGAGGAAAAAAGCTTCCGCGATCACCGTCTCCTCTCCGTTCCTCCAAACCCCGCCCCCTTCCTGAAAATAATGAGTGACAGGCTGATAGTGACCCGATAGAAACTTTATTATTCACTGATTGAGATATAATGAAGCTAACTTAATCTCATACATTCATGGGATTTATGTAACAGTAAGACAGAGAATGTAAGTGTGCACCCACATGCAGTATTTTTGTTTGTATATGCTATTGTAAATACTCCTGTTGTCTGCTGTGTTCAGACTCAAGTCATGTGTGTGATGCCACATTCAGTGTCCTTTTTTTAACAGAAGACCGTTGCTAGAAGCTGCAGCTAGACTGCAGAAGCATTAGTTTTGTTTTTGAGGATGGAACAACTTCACACACAGATATAGGGAGGCTAGACATACACAATTCATTTATTTTGGTTTATAAATTAATGTCAAGACATTTATGTTATTGATTTCTGAAGCACTTTCTAAATAATAAAAAGAGAGTTCATATGTATTTACTGCATGTATGCATTGATGAAAAATAAGCCATGTGCAGTAATATAGAAAATTGAGGATGCAACGCATTGGTATGAATCGTGATGCATCGTGATGCATCGTGATGCATCGTGATGCATCGGGATATCGAATTTAATCGAATCGTTGACAGAATAATCGTAATCGAATCGAATCGTGAGACCAGTGAAGATGCACAGCCCTAGTGTGAATTACATGAGAAGCCGCTTGTTGTGCTCACTTCATAACCTGTTGCTAACACCACATAGCAAAAAGTTTCAGAGCGGCAGTCAGAGTTGTGAATTACATTTTATGACGGAGCACATATGATGCCACCCTCAAATTTAAAAACTCATCAGATCTGCTCAAACCACAAAGATACTGTACTGTCATGAATAAAGTTGGCAGTTGCGCTGGTCAGCACGGCAGTTTGGTTCTCGTAAGGGGTCAGCTTTGTGCAGGTTATAAAAAACCATGATCCAAGCATCCACTTACTATGTTTGTTCCCCAAATGTCTGCTCCATTATGCCTCACTGTGAATGATGTTGTACCTTGACTTCATACCATAAGCAACAAATGATGGACTGCTGTTTAAAAGAAGAGCTTGAAAGTCAATCTTCTCAAGCTGAATTGAATACAAAGTAAAATAACTCGTATTTTCTACAGAAATCTGCTAGAAATCGTATTTTTTAATTGAAAACGACATAGTTAGATTTCTTGCATTGCCTTGAGAAGTCATTTATTCCGATGGCCCTCAGCAGGCATCGGTCTGCCTTTCCTCCATGGTGGCCAAAGCAGCAGCCTGCTCTGCTTCGCGGAGGTTCCCGACTGCCAGCGATGCTCAGACAGAGCAAGCCCAGCCCACAGGAGAGAGCGAAACGGGAGGAGACACGGAGAGAAATACCAGCTTGCTCAACAGCTGAGTAGAGCACTGCACTACTGCCTGCCCCTCCCCCCTCTGCTGCACAGAAACATACAGATGCTTGCCTGCTGCCTCACTCCCAATTATACATGAGCACGGTCTCATCCTCATCTCACACTGAGGTTTTCTCACTTAATGATCTGCAGTTTACTACAGGTCACCAGGCCAAATGACAGCTCTGTTGCACAGGAAGACCTGCAGTGTTTATCTTCTTCTTGGCATGTCCTTTTCCGTTCATCCCTCTTAACCCTACCTCCCGCACCCCATCAACAACACACAAACCCGCTCCTCTAAACATGATTTACAGCCAGCCATATTATCAAAGGCCAAAAGAGAGAGAAGAAAAAGGAGTTAGCAGCAAAAAGTGAAGTCTAGCAAATACCTAAATGGTGGAAAACAAACAAACATCTGAAACCGCGAAGTCTGCTAATTAACTCAAGCATTCCCTAATATAATTGTATTTCTGTTTAGGGGAGGGAAGAGGTTCTCGGCATGACTTTCAAACAGGATGGACTGTCCTTAGTGTGTCAGGGGTCTGTAGCGATATTGGCAACCCACTGGAACCGTCTTGAAACATTGATCCCTTCTGGTTTACTGTACTTCATGTGAATGTTTTGCTGTCCCACCATTCAATTCTATACAACCAATTGGAGATGTCCAAGAGAACCAATGCTTTGATACAAAGTTGATGCCATTATTCTGTATTGTAACGGTATTTGTTTTTCTACAGTCCTGCAGGTACCATAATACTATGGATCACGACTCTAGACTTGCATACGGACAAAAGCAAATGGGTTTGGGAAAAACAGAGATCTTTGCTGTGGGATCTTTTTGGACGGCATTCTATGATAACTATCGCTCAGCAAGTGACAA